AGGAGATTCTGCTTGGTGTTATATCAGAACAAATATTAGAAGCAGTGCATAAAAACCTAAGCAGAACACTGAAAATGTATTTTTTGCTTCGGAGAAAAAATATACGTTATGGTGAAAAATTAAGATATGTCATCGTTGATGAATGCAGTTGAATGAGATTGTGAGAAGATTTTAAAGGATAAATATGTATTAAAAAAATACAATATCTTTTTTTTTTTAACAAAATTTAATATTTAAATTTTAGTTAAGATTTTTACATATTTTGTGAGAGTCAAAAGAAGTTGAACATTTTTCTTGATTCTAATAATAGATTTTTAAAAATAGATTTTTGTCAAGGGGATCATTGCCTCTTTATTGTGCTAATAATTAGATTTTAAATTTCATCAAAGCTTAAATTTTGGTATATAGATATATAGATACGATTCAAAATTATACGTCTTTTAATTTGTTTTCAATGGATTCTATCTCATATTTACCTACAGGTAAGAGTCACTTAAATAAACCTGAAAAATATCTTCAACTGAAAAACATTAAAAAATAATATATGTTAAGAGTAAATTAGTTTTTTTTTTTGCTTTTTTAAAAAACTTTAGATCTAAAATCATTAGATCTAATTTGTTTAAACTTTTTTTACTTTTAATTTTTAAAATGAAAATATTTTGCAGTGAAAAAGAAAAAAATGAAATGAAAAAATGAAATTGTAAAAATTTTGTCAACCCATCGTAATGAAGTGGAACAAAACACATTGTTAAACTATACTCAAACATTTTTAAAAAAATGTTTAACACGCTTGCATACACAATCACACTAAACTACACTAAACTACAGAACAATCACACTAAACTACACTAAACTACAGAACAATCACACTAAACTACACTAAACTACAGAACAATCACACTAAACTACAGAAGCTCATTATTTACTAAACGTTTCAATTATGCGAAAAAAGTTTACAAAATGTTCTTAGAAAAACAGTCAACTCTTAGCATCACTTAATAGAAAACATCAAATTTCTTTTTCATCAACAAGGTTGCGTAACAAAGTCTCATAAAACAAAATACTCATAACGCGCGAAAAAAAAGCCGCTTCTTCTGAAATATATGCGGACTTTACGAAGCATTTGAAGAAGCCTCTCTTAGTCTCCTATATGTTCTTTTGCATAAACTGCGTGATTCTTGCTCAATGACATTTTAAAAAAATTGATTGACTATTGACTGTATGGTTGGTAAAAAAAAGATTGTAATAGACGTATACAAATTAAAGTGGATTCTAGTTACTAACCATGTACTACATGCTTAGTTTCTTGATTATTTGTTTGACTCGTTTTTCCAGTTATAATAACACAATAATATAAAACAATAAAAGTTTCTGTTGACGGTGATAAAATATTTGGAGTTTTCATATTACCGCTTAACAAATCGTGACCCGAGTGCTTATTTATTTTATCTCCATTTTAAAATGTTGGGAGAAAATATTAGTGATGTTATAAAGCTAACAACTATTTATGCAAAAAATTTTAAACTTTAATAATAATTATTGAAAATATTATTTGCTATTAAATTTACTAATTATTTTTAAGAAAAAAAAGTTAAAAAAATAAAAAGTTTTATTTTTAATTTTAGCTATTAACGCAGAAAAGTTCTTTTAATATTTTAAAATGGAGTTGAAATAAATAGGCACTCAGGTCACGAAATAATAAAGCCGTAAAAAATAGACTAGTGACAAGTTACATGAGTAACAGATGCGTATATGCATTATACTAATAAATGCAAGGTGACGCTTGTGTGACGTCTTAGCAGCAAATCAACGTAATTATACGCAATAAAACAGTTAGATAAAGCTAATTGTAAACTTGAAAAATTAACAGGTGAATGAGACTTATAGTTTCAGATTGTTTAAAAATTTGAAACCATTCCCACAAGATTAAAAACGTACTAAATTGTGTTTAAATGTTTTTTAAACGATTTAAAAACGTTCTGTGCTTACTGAGTCAAAACAGCAGTTTTGTCGTTCTTGAATACATTAGCCAATATTTAAAGTTTACAGTTTACAGTCTTTACCGAAAAAATAATATCGAGATGATAGAGAGTTCAAAGACGAGTAACAAAGACAATTTTAGAATTAAAACATCTATTAGACAGGTCAACATAAATTTTTTTTTTTCTGTTGCCAAGCAAACAATTAGTTTTTTGTATAGCATTTCTCATTTTGATTTTAAATATGCAATTCATTTTTCACCATCACGTCAAGTTGTAAAAATATTTGGGTTTAAATCTTTAGTATTTGGCGTAAAGTCCCTAATATTGTCGAAAAAAAAGTTATTCAAAAGTATGTCAACCTGGGTCTTAAAAGAAGCGTATTTTCACAGAGATTATAGAAAACACAAATATTTTTCCTTAAAACTTATTAACAAAATAAATGTGTTAAAAAATGCTTAGGATTTTTTTAAAAATTGTAACAAAATGTGTTTAAGCAATAATACAAAAAGTACTTATTTTTATTACAAAAGAAGAACAATTATGTAATCTCTCTGAAAATACGCTTCTTTTGAGACCCAGGTTGACATACTGTTGAAGAACCTTTTTTTAAACAATATTAGGGATTTTACCCCAAATACTAAAGATTTGAACCCAAATATCTTTACAACTTGATGTGATGGTGAAAAATGAGTCACATATTTGAAATCAAAATGAGAAATGCTATAAAAAAAACTAATTGTTTGCTCAGCAACAGAAAATATATTTTTTTGTTGACCTGTGTTATACAAGCAATGATTAAAAAGTTAAATTTTGCACCACACAAAAAAAAAAAAAAAAAAAAAAAAACTGACCTAATACAAAGGTATAGAATACCTTCACCATCAATCCCCATATTCACGTTTTACGTTTCTCTAATTACTAAAATTCAACATGAATCTCTAAATTTGAAGTATTCTTATAAATATAGTGTGACAATTTGTTTAAATGGCTTCTTTGGGCAAGCAGTAAATGCAACCTCTAAAAATCCAAGTAAATGCAAGTTTTATTTTACTTTCGTGTGAATGTTTCATTCACTTTATGTGAATATATGATTTTTCTATTTCATAAACATCCACTATTATGTCTACAAAATGCTGATATTATTTAGCTTTGAAAATAAATTCTTTTACAAAAGTTTTTACTTGTAGTTATTACTGTACAAAACACATATACAACGACTAGTAAAAGCAAAAGTAGTAAAATAAAGCAAAAACATTTGCTCTAAATATAATCTTTTTGTACTAAAAACTAGAAAATAAACTTTTTAATTTAAATTTAATAGTTCCGTAAACTAAAGATTGACAGGTTTGCGCAAACTTTTTTTAGAAACATACCTGTCAATCTTTAGGATATTAAATTTATTAAATTTAAATTAAAAAGTTTATTTTCTACTTTTTAGTACAAAAAGATTATATTTTTAGCAAATCTTTTTGCTATATTTTATTTTCTACTTTTTAGTCTTTACAGAGAGTTATAACATTTAGCAATGCATTTATTTAGGCATGAGTAATTAAGTCGAGCTTTTTATCCTAAAGAAACGTTGTATTTGCTGATTAAAGGAGCGGAATATTTTTCTTTTAAAAGATAAAATTTTTTTATATAAAAGTAAAATAACATAAAAAAAAAATATTTTATTTGCAATGCAACCCGCGTCCTCTCACAGATGTAGTATATTTTTATATTTATATTAAACAAAGTTAACATAACTTTGTAACTTACTTTTTCAATTTTAATTAAAAAAAAAAATGTTTCAAAAAAAAAGTATTAAAATTAAAGATTTAAAAAGAAATACAAACCCACAAGCAATCTTAGCCGATTTTAAAAATAAAAAAATTTATTTTAAAAGAGAACAAAGTAAATTAAAAAAACTACAAACCCACACACAATATTAGCCTATTTTAAAAATAAAAAGATTTGTTACTTAATAATTTTAGCCGTTATAAACAAACCGGCAATTTAGTAGACGACAAAGAAAATTGAGGAAGAGCTCATGTAATGAGAACTCCAATCACAACTTTGTCGGCGTACATTACTTAGGTGACCTAACTAACAGTATGTATTGCACCTTCTAACATCTTGTGCAACCCTGTCTGCTTACTCTATGCTATCTTTCTAACTCGACTACTTCTATCTTTCACTTAAACATATCTTTTTTTTTTTTTCCAAACTCACCTTACTCTTGGTCTGTAGACGCTCCCTCGGAAGCTCAACTAGTCTTTGCGGACCCTGGAAAAGTGGCCTCTATATGGCAATTAGCCGGAGGAGGTTAAACCACAATACCAGAGTTCATGGTATGTGAAATCCATTCACAACTTTGTCGACATACTTTACTTAGGTTAACCTAACTAACAGTGCGTTGTGCATTTATGTTCATTCTCTATGCTATCTATCTAACTCAACTACTTCTGCCTTTCACTCTAATATATCTTCGTTCTTCCCAAACACTTCTTACCCTCGGTCCGTAGAGCAGGTTATGATGCTCCTTGAGGAGCCGAACTTGTCTTTGCGGGCCATGGTAATGTGGACTCTATATGGCAATTAGCCGGAGGAGGATAAACCACAATACCAGAGTTCATGTAATGTAAACTCCAATCACAACTTTGTCGGCGTACATTAGTTAGGCGACCTAGCTAACAGTATGTTTTGCACCCTCCTGTCTGCTTTCTCTATGCTATCTTTTTAAATCGACTATTTCTTTCACTCTAACATATCTTCGTTCTTCCCAAACTCACCTTACTCTCGGTCCGTAAAGCGGGTATGACGCTCCATCGGGAGCTCAATTAGTCGTTGCGGACCCTGGTAAAGTGGCCTCTATATGACAATTAGCCGGAGGAAGTTAAACCACAATACCAGAGTTCATGTTAAGTGAAAGAAAAGATTATTAAAAAAGATGCGAATTCAAGATAAACTAGGCTTTTCGAAAAACGTGTTTATTGTTAGTATACAAATAAATATTGACATCAACAAGTTTTATAATACCTGCAAGCAATCCGAATTTTTGACCAAATTCTTTTAAAACGTTTCTACAAAACGAAAATCAAAAACATTATTTGCATTTATTTTATAAAACTTTTTGTTCTGATGATTTCAAATAAGTAGTAAATTTTATAATGTAATAATAGAAAACGAGTTTTCTATTACCTGAAAATGAACTTAGAAGTATACGTTTTTTGGTAACTGCATTAATATATTTTTCTAAATATTACTGCTTACTGCACTAAACTCTTTAATCAAGTCAAGTTCTTTGCACTTTTTTTTATCTCAGGCTTTTATACACTTTTTCTTCAAAATAACAATCGTCGGCGTTCCCTCTCTAAATGCTTTACCACAAATTTTCAAAGTAAACAAACTGTTGAACTACCGTTACATATTAAGGCTAATTAATACCATATTAATGTACAACAATCTTGAATAACAAAAAAGTTAAACTCTGATTAACAGGATATTGGAAAGGAAAAAAGCAATGCTCGAATCGATATTGAATGATTTAAATCGAATTAAATTAAAATTACTTTTGTAAAATCCTGTAATAATAAAATATCCTGTATAACTCGTTTTATTACAGTAAGTAAATATTATGCTTTGTGAGGTCTTTAACCTCCTGAAAAAGGTGAGCTGGATTTAAGTAGATTTTACAAAATAATCTTCTTCTGTACAAATCAATACTCAATATTTTTAACTAATACTTATTGTTTCTTTCAACTTTTTATAAATTCTTTGAATTTTTATATAGGTTTTAAATTTATTTTAATTATAAAAGCGGATATTCGTTTTTTTAAACAAGCAAGTTTTGTGGGATGTTTTTTCGGCCACTTTTAATCTTATTTTTTCTATATTTGTTAATGGCAACATTTATAGGTATTGAATTTCATGCATTACGTTTTATAGGACTTTTAATACTGCTCTCTTAATTTAAGAGGTCGGTATCAAAATTAAAAATGCATTTCTTAACTTATTTTTAACGGATTCTGTCTCCTGTAAAAAATTGTTGATAACTGAAAAGAAAAAAATTTAAAAAAGCGCATTGTCTTGCGCTTGCGCTTTAATTGTCTATTTCTCTAAGTCATACTTGAATGTTTACGGATGTAAATAACATTGTAGTTAGTAGAGAAAATCTTTTCTAATAATATTAATTGTTTCTTTAATGAGATCAAGGAAGAATATATATATATATATATATATATATATATATATATATATATATATATATATATATATATATATATATATATATATATATATATATATATATATATATATATATATATATATATATATATATATCCTGTCGTCATTTTATGTATGCTGTTTTTAAGACATAACATACATTCTAGTTATTGTTTTATTAAGAGAGGCATAAAAAGATGACAGAATATATATATATATATATATATATATATATATATATATATATATATATATATATATATATATATATATATATATATATCATATATATATATATATATATATATATATATATATATATATATATATATATATATATATATATATATATATATATATATATATATATATATAAGGCCGGCGCGATAGGGGGGTGCGGGGTGTGATCCCCCTCCCCAATCAATGATTTTTAGTCGGCATATTGGACCCTTCGTCGACAAATTGGACCCTTTAGACTAGTTAGTCGGCAAATGTCGACCCTTTCGATACAGGTTAGTCGGTAATCTAGACAGTCGGCAAATGTTGTCAAGGCAGTCGGCAAATTTTGGAAAACGAGGACCTTTATATATTTTTTTTAAGTTGGCAAAAGTAATGGCACCCCACGTGACACCTACTCGCGCCGGCCCTGTATATATATATATATATATATATATATATATATATATATATATATATATATATATATATATATATATATATATATATATATATATATATATATATATATATATATATATATACACATAACCATTATAGACATTTTTCTCGGGCTCAATAAACCTTTTCAGCGTCTTTTTTATGTTTTTATGTATTGTTTTTGATATTTTTTTAAATATAAAACCAAGGAAGATCGTTCTGTTGTCAAACTTGTTCTTGAGATTTTTTTAAAAATATTTAAGCTTATTTGCAAATAAATCGTAATTATTGGGTAGAGGATGTTGAAATATTTTTGTGTTTTGTATTAGATATGCGTCTCCTAAAAAAAAAAAGGACCTCTATTTTTAAGATATTTTAGAACTTTCAAATTTTGTTGGGGGAAGAGGGAGGTAATGCCCTCTTCTCCTCCTCCTAACCGTTCAAGCCCCAGATCCGTCACTGATACGGTTTTAAACAAAGCATATGAATTCAATAAACATATTGCTTTTTTCTTTGCAAAATATATCAAGTTTCATCCCGAAACAGCATTCAGCAGAAAAGTCAAACAAATATGACAAAAGTATTCGGTTCTAGGAAAAAATTCCCCCGAAAAAAAACCCCGAAGAAATAATCCTACAAAATCCCTCAGTCAATTCGGTTCACCAATTTTATATTATATAAACTAGATGGTTAACTTCGATTCGAAAAGTGAAGCCGCTTTTTGCCCCTTTTACAAATAGCGGATTAAATTTGTAAACAAATGTTTTTAACTTTTCTTTTCTGAAATGAAGTAAATATATTTTAAATTTAAATACTATTTATGTAAAAGTGTTAAGCGGAAATTATAATACTTGTAAAATAATAATTTATGATTCCTTAATTGATTTTCAATTAAAAAGGGATAAAAGTTTTGAATAGAAAAGTAAAAGGACAGACGCTTTTGAAGCATTTTTATGAATTAAAATACTTTTTTTATAAACATAGGTTTATAAAAAAACTTTTATAAGTATTTCATATTTATTAAAATTTGATTTAAATAAGTATTTCATAATTATTAAAATTTGTTTTTGAATTATCTTTAATTTATTGGGAACTTTTGACTTGCATTTTTAACTTTCATTCCACACTTCGGCTTCAGCTTTTGCCCTTTTTATAAATGGCGAACTATTGTTATAAACAAAAAAAAGCGGCTTTATTTTTTGTCCAATAAAATCCCGCAAGTTAGACATCAAGTTATATAATTTGTCAATGATGTACACTAATTGCACGTTCTACCGAAACGCCAGTCATTTATGTTACCGAAATGTCAGTCCTTGCATGTTCTATCTATTTGTCTGTCGATGTATGTATACTCCTTAGATGTTCTACCTATTGATTTATGAAAAAAAAAGGATTCAGGTTTTGCTTGTAATATAATATCTAAGTATGAAATATTTATATTATAAACAACTATTATACTGATAAGTTGTTTATTTTATGTTGTAAAAAAAAATTTACAAGTGAATTTTTTCCGGGTGTAATTTTTGCCAAAGGAATTTTTTCTCGGAGGGATTTTTTTTCGGAATACTATTTTGGGGAGATTTTTTTCTGTATAGATTTTTTCCTGGAGAATTTTTTTATACCAAATAATCTTGTTTCTTAAAATCATGTAAACTGGGTGTCTGATCAACTGTCTTCTTTATTAATTCAATTTGAAAAACTGTATTGCTTAAATATATGAGGTGTGAGTTTTATGATTCGAAAAGTTTTTTTTTATTATTATTAGTTTACATTTGTTGCCATAGTAAATAAATAATTTAAACAAATACAACGATTTACAGGCGTGTGTATATGAACTATATCAGTATTATAATATAACAATATAAAACCCCCTCATTTTGTTGATTCTATAGTTCCAAACGAATATACATAGTTAAAATGAAAAGTACCCGACCACACAAAGTTAAAAAGTATAAAAAGTACCTGACCACATTATTCATTCAGAGAATTAAATTTTTCAGTTTATATTTGTAATAGGAAAAGTAAAAGATATATCAAAATTGGACAAAAAATTATTCCAAAGATATTGTGCACGATGTGTAATACAAAAACCGATTAAACTTAGTTTGACAAAAACGTACATTTTTAATTCTAAGAGCATATTTATTTATTGAAAAGAGATCTTAAAAATAGATAAAGCTAAGTCATTTTTCAACATGTATATAAAGCATAAAACATTAAAAGCATTAGGCTCATATATATTTTGAATTTTCATTTAAATAAAAAAATGGTTTGGAATGAGTGTATTATGCCTCAAAATTAATTAAACGAATCCCATGTTTCTAATGTTGAAGAATACACACAACACACCAACCAATTAAGGTTCACGAATAAACACGACTTATAAAAGTTTAAAATAAAAGATTTAGAATTTGAAAATAAAATAAAAAAGAAATAAACATCTGTTTATAATTGAATAATAAATTAAAATATTGTCTTCTCGGGCTCAGGTATGCTGCATATGCATATATATATATATATATATATATATATATATATATATATATATATATATATATATATATATATATATATATATATATATATATATATATATATATATATATATATATATATATATATATATATATATATATATATATATATATATATATATATAATATATGACGACAAAACAATAACAAATATCAAATAAGTTTCAAAAACGTTTTACGTCTTTGACAGTGGTTTGTCCACTCTGGAAACTGGTTTGTCCTAAAAAATCCAAGACTTGGTTTTTTTAGGACAGCTGCTATGAACGATACTAAACCTCAAATCAACTTTTTTTTTTTTTAAATTACTGTTAACCAAATAATAAAAAGTACTGTTTTTTTTTTTCATTTTTTATTTTATTATTTTTGGTATTCACGTTGACTGTTGACGACATTCTACTTACTACTGTCCTAAATAAAAAAAAAAATTATTTTCAAATAACTAAAAAAGTTACTAAGCTAAAATTTGTCAAGGACTCGGTGTAGTTAAGGCATTTTTAAAATATTATAGCGTCTGTATGATGTTTTGTTGACTACGACATATTTCCGTTAAATGGTCTGGTCTGTGAATTATGAAAAGACGAAAAAAATTAAAATAATAGCCGGCAAGCACAAATAGCCGCTGCCAAGGCTAATTAAGTCCTTGGGACATTGAAAAACACGTTTATAAGCAGAGATACCAAAATATGGAAAAAACTTTACACCACTTATATACGCCCACATCTCGAGTTTGCAGTTACTGCCTGGTGCCCGCATCTTGAAAAAGACATAAATGTCATAGAACGTGTTCAGCATCGGGTTACCAAAGTACCGCATGAAATAAAGCGCTTCGATTACGAGACAAGATGCATCAAACTCGGTCTTACCTCTCTATTAAATAGACGTTTAAATAGACGCGGCAACCTCATTCAAAAATATAAATTCAAAAACAGTATCGACTCAATTAGCTGGCATATAGATTCACCTAACATCCCACCTAACTACGGTCATCGCAAGCGCTTTGATCGTGAAATGGACAACAACTGCCTCGTTCGCTATAATTCCTTCAACAACCGCATTTGCAACAACAATTTTTTTAAGTCATAAGTCGTAATAGATAAACATATAACAATAATTATCGTAATAGATAAACATATAAACAATAAACAAGTCGTAATACAGTTACGTAAATGTACAATTCATCGTACTAACAATATAAAACTAGGTTTCCGAATAAAGATCATAAGGATA